CTTGCGCGAATTAAATGACTCGCGCGCGCGCACTTTGCGCGAAAAACTCCCGAATGCTTATACGAGCCCTAAGCCAACTGAAAAAGCGAGGCCGACGTTTCCTCTACGCGAAAATCCGTATAACGCGCGCGTTTTCCACAGAGGGAAAAAAAAGAGGGGTGGAGGGGAGGAGAGGGTAGTCGCGAAAGTAGAATCTCGCCGGCCGAAAGCCCGTCAGAAATCAAGTTTCCCGGCATAGGCAGGACTTTGTTTTCAAACATATTCCGTTCCTGCGCCGGGGTAAAAAGCACCAGGAGCTCCGATTTCACGAGGAAACCCCGTGTGCTGAATCCGAACGGCGCGGCGCGGCGCGGCGCGGGTGCCGAGGGCTGGCTCACGCGCGCACGCACGCACACGGTCAGAAACGCGCGGCGCAACGCGCGTTGCCGCTGGTAACTCAATCCGAGGAGTTTCGGCGAAAAGTGTTGTATTACTGGTGTGCTATTTCTCTGATCCCAGATCATCTTCATTCGCGCGGAATTTCGAAACGGCGCAAAATTCGCAGCCCCCAGCCCACGGCACCATCGATCCAGAGCCCCGCGCTCAGTTCGGACGCGCACACGGGTGGCTCGCGAATGGCTCCTCTTTAACGCCGAAATTCCTCGTCCAAACTTTTTCCTCCACCCCTTCCCCCCCCCTACCCCCGTGAACCTTACCAGCCTGTTTCAGACTTGATTATTTCGTATATCTATAATATAATAGGCGTTTGATCATAAAATACTTGAAAATATATGCATCTTCTGATGTGTCAATTGAGATATATAACCTTTCTCAGAAAGGGAGAGAATTTTTTCGCCGAGAGCAAGAGTTTGATGCAATATACCTATCTCAAATTCGGATTATTCGAGTCACGAAATGATCGCTGTTTCTCAGAATTTGGCGTCCGGTCTTGAAAGCATCGAATACTAACTTGAAATTTAATACAAGTTATTACTATATTGATCGATCGACAGGTACTCCTCGTGACTCAAGCGTGCAAAAGGACTTTCAAGATGAGCGATTCACAGTGTGGATGCATGGAAAGGTCTCGAAACGTAGCTCGAAGCCTTCGCTACGAGAGAGCGTTGGAAAGAGCAAGATAGAGTGGGAAAGAGAGGGATCCACGGGAGAATGAGAGAGAGAGAGAGAGAGAGAGAGCGAGAGAGAAAGATAGAGAGAGAAGCGTGCTCTCTCTCCATTCCTCTTGCCCTCGTCTCCCTTCACTCCACCCCCGCCAATAGCCCTAGTCGTTTCCAGCAAGTACTTCTATGTACCAACCATCTCCTACACGCTACCCTTATATACGTTGTATATTTACCTCCGCGGCATGTACGCGCGCGAGCGCACCTCTCGCCTATGTACGTACGTATGTACGTATGTATGTACACCGGGGCCCGCGCGGTACATAGGTCCGAGCGCCACATAAAAAGCACATGGGGCAGGTATAGCTCCGGCTGAAAATTATTCCGAGTATTTTCGAATTAGCGCGTCGGAAGCGGAGGAAACGCGCCGCGTTCGGTCGGACGCGCGGCGAGCGCGGCTCGCACGCAAAATGCACGCTCTCTCTCTCTCTCTCTCTTGCAACGAGGCGCCGCGGATGCGAACGTCTCGTTTCTTGAACGCACCCGAAATGCGTTCTCCTCTCCTCTCATCACCGAGCACTGAAATTCCACGGCGACGCGTTGTTGGCGACTGTACCGGCTTCCTCTCTCTCTCTCTCTCTCTCTCTTTCTCGCTCTCTCGCTCTCCCGCAGTATCGCACACACACTCACACATATATAACGTTTTCGAGCAGCTCCGGAGAATTTTCGGAGTCGCCATTGTTGCCGGGGTAGGTGGGCCGCGAGGCGGAATTATTCGAAGCGAGCGTGTTCGAGCGAGTTCACGAGCGAACGAGTAACTAAGGTGGCTCGATTTTTAAATTGCAAAAGCGCGCCGCGCGTCCACACGTTTCGGATTCTGTTACGCGGAAAAATAAGAGAATCGCGCGGCACCAAACGCGCGATTCAGTTAGCACTTTGCATTTTGCGGATGCCAAATTAAGATTGCCATTTGCGTCTCGCGATTAAAATGACAATTTTCTTTCTCCTTACGCGACACACCAGCGTTGCGGAGTCGAAGGAAATCCCGATTCGATTTTTTTTTTTTTTTAATTAAATTGGACCCGCATAAGATTCACTAATATTCGTATCATAAGTACGAGCGCGCGAATATGGTGTCTGTAATGACTTTTGCATTAATCTCGATATTCATCGCCGCCATCAATTTCCTGCGTCGATGCGTTATTCGATTTGACCGCGAATATTGAATCGCCGATTATCGATCGTAATCGACTAATGAATAATGCCGATGACACTGACGCTGGATGGATTTAATATTGCAGTACGATTTATCAAACACCTCTAAATAAATTTCTTTAATGGCTTGAAAAGGAGTGTATGAAATAATATTAAATAAAAATAATAGCAATATGATATATATGTATATATATATATATATACCTTTATCAGTCAATTTATATTCATTGCAAATTTATATTATTCAACTAACGATTTTCGTCTCGCGGCTTTATGCACGTTGCACGTCATGCCTTATATAAGGCATAGACCCGATCTGCAGCCATAAAATTCCACGACTACGCCATGGTAGTTGCCGGCTCGACTGTACGTCGAGGCTTGGCGGTATCTTTTATCTCCTTTCGACTTGCGCGGCCTTAAGGAACCGCCGCGGTCGGGCTGCAAGAACAGTCCGAGAAGCAAACTTGACAAATTACGATTACCGAAATAAACCCTGTCCTTCGCGTTGTTTCATTTCGTTTCGTTTTACATGATGGCTCTTGCATCTTTTTTCCGCGTAACGATAAAGTGACTCTATACGATTTTTTTACTTTGTCCCAATTGGAATTTCTTCGCGCGTTCCGCTCATCGAAGATTATATCGCATCTCTCTAGACAGAAAAAAATCGCTTCGCGGAGCGCGCGTCGTTCGTTCTTTCGCGTTGCGCCACCGTTTCTCGAACATGTTCGAACAAGCTGCTCCACCTTAGAATTTCTGAGTGACATGCGTACGTACATCGCTCCGGCGATGATGCACACTGGGATATAAGTTGCGTGAAGTTCCGCGAAAATCTTTCGTCCTAACCATCCTCGTCGCTCTGCCGCGCCGTATAGAACGCTCAAGAAACCCCTCGCAATGGGGCGGCATGATGAAATCGTACGACGCGAAAGTATCCCGGATGCGCGCAAGAAATTCGGTGAATATCACGAATAGGAAATATTCTCGGCGTGCGTTTAGCAGTACAGCTAGGTGAAAAAAATTCAGAAAGCGTTCGCACTAGATTCGCAGTCTATTCTATGTACGCGAAAAACTCTAGAATAGAATAGAATAGAATACATGGGGTGTCTCGCAACCATATTTTAATATTCTGGATATCAAAGTTAAAACTCTCCTCTAACGACAGAGATATAAATCCAATACACGTTGGGATCACAATAATTTTCGATTTACGCGATTATCAAAGCTGGCCAAGTATGATATCTCCCGTAGAGTTCGCGTATTCACGCAATTACGCGTACACGCGTACCGATCTGTCATCTATTATTGATTATCAGGTATTGATTATCGAAGACGGTAACCTACATTCAATCGTTTTCTTAAAGTGCTCCTTTCTCATACGCACTGATAAACTCACAGGCAATTCAACCGTGAATAAATTATCGCCGGACAATCGCGTGTAATAAATTTCTTGTATTTAATTGCATGTGAAAATATATTTATGTATTTCTGTACAAATAACATCAAAACATTTTTAATACAAACATAAATCTCCTATTTCGATATATTAGTATGAACGGGCTATGATAAATTTATTATTATATTTATAACGGGCTATGATAAATTTATTATTATAAATAAAAACAATTAATAATTATTAATTGTGTCTATCATTAAATGAATTAATTGCTTATATGGCGTAACCATAAAATATAAATATTATCTATAAATATTACATATCATACATATATGTATATAAATACATTTCTTTCTTGACTTAACTTTTATATAATATTTAATCCTGAAGTCAAGAAGAGGCCACACTCTTTAATTTTATTTAAAAAATACTTAAGAAGGGAAAATATAACAATGAATTTTTTTCTTTTAAGTATATTAACAGTGTCTCTCTATAGCGTTACATATATGCATTCATTTTTATTACAAATACGTACAAAATGTATACATAATCTTGTTGCAAAAATTCATCTCGTCCACGAGATACAAACACGATGAAGAAATTTAAATAAAAACTTTTATAACTATTATAATTACTATTACACTTATAATTTTAAACAATATTTTATTTGTAATTTTATTTACTTGTTCTCTCCTTATTTTTCGCTATTCTATCTGAGCAAGAAACATAATCAATTATAACGTACTTAAATAACGTGCGATATTTAAAAAAATTGAAAGACAACATTATTAATATTGTTTGCATGACATTATTTGTTAATAAACATTAATATCTTCATAATGTTCTGAAATGTATCTCTTGAAAATCTCATCTGTCTAGAGGCTTTTGGAGGCATTTAGAAGCTTGGTAATAAATGAAAAAAAAAAAGATAATAAAGTCTTCATCAGAAAAATCACTCTATTATCTCTGTCACTTTTTACCAAGCTTACTTTACTCGTGAAATATTATTCCACGCTTGCAAGTATATTTAAATAAACGCATATATTTCAAGATTGAACATTCATACTTATGCTGTATCCGTCTTATTGTTAGCCCGTTCATATTAACGCAGTGGATCAATGAAAGATCCCATATTTATCTTTAATATTCCTACTCTCTCGATTCAATACGTTATATATCTACGCACATCCGCTATAATCTTTTTTTCACAAATTTGTTAAATCATGTTTTAGATCTGTTAGATTTCATAGATCGTCGACGCGACGTAAAATAAACAATATTTCGTCACTCACCCATCGACGCGCATCGTCAAAGTTGAACTGCGTCGAGCCGCGTCGATCTGTAAAACGCAAAACGTAACAGAATTATAGCGGCGCACGAAACAATCGGCGCTAATCTGTGTGACAATCGTCGCGCTCGCAAAATCGTCGTAAACGATCGATTTTCGGCGACAAAACGTCACGAAAAACGACAAAAGAGTAACTCACCCAGTGGTTGCTCCGCCATCCGTTCCGACGCCTCCCAGGATCTCATTCTCCTCTCGGGCTTCCTTCTCTCTCAGGCTTCCTCCACTCAGGCTCTCTTCTTAGGCGTCCATGTGGCACTCACAACACTCACTCGCGAGAGTACGGTTAATTACGAGCACTTTGCATACGCAATACCGACGCCTCGTGTCGCGACAGAGGAGACGCACAACATGAGGAGACCGTTCGCGATGTCGAATTCGACGCCACCCGATGGTTGGACGCCAGATCGATTCGCAGCCGAATTTGTCAATTAAGTCACGCTACGACTCGGAGCAGTTACCGTAAAACACACCGCGACTGTTAAAAACAGTGTCGCCAACCTTAGTACGACGCAAGTCAGGTTAACGTCCAACGTCGACGAAACGTACCGAAAATGTACGATCGAGACTGTAAAGTCGAGACTGTCCGAAGATGAATTTCAGACAATTTCGGACGCGAAAACGAGAATTTAACATTTTACAATTTATTGGTCGTGCGGGCGATTATTTTGAATGAGAAACCTTGCGAAATGCATGGTATGATCAACAAATGGTCGATAAATCACATTTTTCCATTACTTTTCTTTGATGTTCCCACGTTTCGCGTTGCTATATACTCTGCGCCACTTGCTTCAAACAAATAAATCGCGCAAAACATACTTTCCTAATGAACAGCCGCAAATTGTCGTAATATCATACGGATCGCGTCTAATTGTCGCTAAATCGTGTCTCGAAGAAGAATACAAGTCCACGTGTCCACACGATTAGCGAACTATAAAAATCGATCCGAAAATTGATCAATCGTCAATGACCAATTGGTCAAATATGTCGTATTGCTCAAAACATGATTGGTTATTTCCCGTGCCTTTCTGTCGGACATCCGGTTCCGATTTCTAGCATCGTGGATACAAGATTTGTCCGGTTCCGATTTCTACAGCATCGTAGACACAAGATTTGTCTCACGGACTCACGGCACGAGTCGGCCGGCCGACGGCGTGGCGTGAGTCCCGCTGTGCGAACGTGAGAGGCCTGTATTTTGTCTCTGCACTGGATTGTGTACTAAAACTTTCTGTCTCGCTTTCGCCAAATCTTCAAGTACACATCTGTTTCATTTTAAGTACAAATGCGTACACTAGTCAAGTCACGAAGGACAGACCCAAGGTGAAAAACAACGTCGCGTCGTTTCGGCCACCCAAACACTTCGTGTACGCATCAGTCGTACACATTGTTGTCGCCGGTCGAAATTCGATTCAGCAAAACAATTTCGCCGTTTTACCTAATCGGCTCGAGTCATCTCGTCACGAAATACATATACATGTGTATGTGTGTGCCACGCATCACACGCATGGTACGCACGTGTTACTATGCCTGTGACGCGATAGCGTGAAATCATATACGAAAAACAATCGTCGAAAGCGCGATGTAAAAAAAAGAACAGTTCGTCTCAGCCGACCGGGAGATGTAGTGCTATTGTAGCAAGGTATATCGCGAGTGTCAGATTGGTGGCGAGTGGATTACTCGCGCTCGCGAGAAGTACGAATACGCGTGTTCGGAAGTTACGCCGGTTACGCGATCGCGAGAGATAATAACCGCCGCGGCGCGACGAGGGGCACGCACCTTCGTCGCCTACGCACGCTGAGAGGTCGAGTCCGCGCCGCGCGAACGACACACAAGGGTAACGATATAAACACAACGCCGCCGCGTCGTACTATACGGCAATAGCTCTCTAAATACGATTGCGATGTAGTGGAAGCAAGTGAAGGAGCACGTGCGATATATCACGAAATATTGGGCGCATTAAAAAAGTAAGTTCCCCGAATATTATATTCTGTTCCTCGCGTTTCAAAGTGACAGGCTGTATTATCTCTCGTCCTCCTAAATCTAATCTCGCTTATCCAATAAACGAGATGTATATCTTCGCCTCGATTAAAAAAGTATGTTGTAAATTAATGTTTATTACCGCCGCTCGTTCCGCGAGGAGTGTGACAACGCGCGATAAATCCGAATTTGCGATTTTAAACAAAAGACGAGATCACGACGCATAATGCAACTTAATCTCGTTATCTTAATTTATTAATCTCGCGCGGTTTGACTCTTCTCGCGAGGTAAGAAATCGGATAAAAAGTATAAATAACAAATCAGATTCTAGATTTAAACACCTTTCTGATCAAAACGAAAATAAAAACCTCGTTTTTTTAAATGAATATGAGATTTGAGAGATTTTTCAAGAGAGATAATTAATCACCTGTTTGAACTCTTGTGTAATATGTAGGAGAATAAATAGACTGCATGTAGCAGTTACATTTTGCTATTAATAATTTATTAGTATTAATGATTTATCAATATTTCTATAGGGGACGTAATATATGCGCATAAGAAATTGCAATTTCTAATCGAGAGACAGTTAAGTAATTAATAAATAATTGATAGATGACACATTCATAGGTGTACGTATAATCATGCATAATCACGAACTTCACACACGTTATATCGCAAGTATATCGTTTCTTCTTACGCATATAGTTTATTGTATAAAAAATAATATTGTATAATAAACTGCAATCTTATTATATAAAATCACATAGCAAAATTGTAATTCTATTGTATATAGAAAGCCTTGCTTCATTAAAATTTTCAATATAAATTTTTGCAATAAATCTATAAAGTATTGTGATTGCAAAGAAGTAATAATTTGCATAACAAATATGCAAGTATTTCAAAAATCAATTAATAATATCTAAAAGATTGTATTTTATTGTTATGCCTTGCGGGTACTTTTTTTATAAACAATTATATTTAAGTGCGCTAAAGTATGCCAGATGCCACGAGATGCCACGGAAGTGTAATGGTCTAAGTTTCCTTAAGTAATAATGTACCCCGAGATGAATCATTCAGCTGGCTGCAGAAGAACGCCTACAGAAAATCTACAGTTTATAAAACTATGCACTTAGACGCGGTATGTCCTATGCAACCTTCTTCGCGCGGATATTTTTCTCACTTTTTTCGGCTAGTCGCAACTTTTTCGTGAGAGGGACGGAAACGCGCGCGCGCACCTACAATTATGAGGATTAACGCATTTTAACAGCGTAATTTCTTGCGCGATAGAAGATTTCGCGGAAATAAACTCCGCTGTGCGGAGGAAGCTGTTAATGTATTTAACTGGTCCCTTTGCAGGATAATCGATCGTATTAAAAAGGCTTACACTGATCCTGTTTTTTATCAATTTTCATTAACTTTTTCTTAATTCTAATTCATCGAAGTTTTGTTAAACCTCTTTCATCGCTTGGAAATTGAAACTTAGCTGAACCAGATGCGATATAACGCCTACAAACCGTTCGTACATCTTTCACGCAGAAAATAAATTTTATGCGACGATATGATTACGTTCACAGTTTTTTAAGTACTCGCAGATATGAAAAAAAGAAATAAAACGCGTAAATAAATATAGGGAGTCGCAAACTCTTCTGAATGTAATATTGATCGAAATAAATATAGAAATACTTTTATCAGATATAAAAAAAAATACTTCACGTTGAAAAATATTTGTTGCAAATTATATTTCATGTCATGTTTCTAATATATGTTTGATTTAAAAAGCAATGTTGGAAAGTTTGTGCGTTGTCAAAGGATTCTTTCCTCGTGACAAAAATATAGCAACATAATTGAATGTAATTTATAAATCAGGAACCCTCGTCCTCATGACGGCGAAAAAATAAAGAAAGTGAATGAAAGAGAAAGAAAGAGGCGCGGAGGGGGGGGGCTTCTCTTGTCTTCTTCTTTTTTAACGAGGCCGTCAACGGATAAATGTTTGTTATGGAAGTGCACAACGAATGATTCTGACAACTCACGGAAGGAAATAAATCTAACTTAGTCCGCTTCGGTCGTTTTATCGAATCGTAAAGACTCCCAGAGCTGCAACATTTTACGTAACTATTTCGCCGTCACTCATTTTTTTTTTTCTGTCACATTGCAGTTGTCTCTCACAGTCGTTCTAAGACACGTTTGTCTGCCGGTTGATCGCAAGCAGCACGCAAAAATTATATTACACGTCAGTTCGTGCAATTAAAGTATCAATTCCCTCCCCGCCGCCGCAGTGTCTTTTGATGCGAAACGCAATAAATCCAGTTGCGTGAATACATGATAATTTATGTAATATGTTAACCATGTGCATATGCACATTATATCGCGATGTTGTAACTTTTAAACGCTTACTCATGTAAGACACACTGATAACAAAAAAAAGGAATAAATGTAAATAACTATATAATTATTCCGACGCATAGAAATTATTGTTAAATTACTTCCCGCAAACGCGCTTCAAGATTGGATTTTATGTAATATTTAATATAATCGTCACATTGACAACATTATTTAAGTGAGACAGATAAATGGGGGAGATAAACTGCCATAGGCATGCGCCCCTGTCTTCGCAATAAAAATTATTGTCGACTTAAAGATCCGAAAATTTATATTTATTTTTTATTCAATCCGCGCAATGAAATTTTGCGCCAATTTAATATCGCCATTCGTTAATTCCTTACTTCGGTTCACCTTGCAAGCTTATCGGCGCGTATGCACGCCGCGCGCGTATGCATTCGAAGGTTCCTTTGACACGAATAGATAACGGCTGATAAACGAGTTAATTTGCAGATACGCCTTTCGGAGACGAGGCTCGTAACTGCACGTATGAATCACTGCGTTGAAACAGATCTTGTCAAATGTCACGTCTCGCTCTGAAGACACGATAAATGACAATGACTGAATGGTCCGCATCATCGGCATTAATTTTGAAATCCGTCATTATTTCCGTTCCGCGTACCGCAAATTGCTTTAATGCACTGTGGTACGATTGTATCCATACAACGTGCTGCCCGTGAAAAAAAAAAGAAGCTCGTGACCTTGAGTCGCGTAGCCTTGACGTAAATTCTTTAAAAATACATATGGAGAGAAGAGAGAGAAAGAAAGAGAGAGAGAGAGAGAGCGTGAATTCTCCGTCGCAGAATTCTTGCGCGTCATCGAGTGACTGGTGTCTAGCGGTTTTGAGCTGTACGAGGCCTCGTATTACGAGCAGGAGCGCAGTTCACCGAAGACGACAAAGTGCGAGGCAAAGAAGGCGCTCGCGCGCACTCGCACGTGCTGGCGCGGGAAACTTTTTTCCTTTCATCCAGACGCGGCCGTGCAATATTGATAGACTCGTCTCTAGATAATGGCGGACTATTGCACGGACTGTAATTGCACGGTAGAAAACGGTTTAAAGCCCCGTTCGCTCTCCCCCGCCGCCGCCGCTGCGCCGCGGATAACGTGCGTGGAGAAACGGTGCGGCGACGAACGGTGGATTCCTCTCTCGGGTTATGATAATTATGATATTTAGGCCCCGACTTGACGTTATTATCCCGCGCGAGCTCGGTCTTTCTGCCTTCTTCTTTCCTTCCTGCAATGCCAGCCGGCGTAAATTCGCGGTGAATATATATATGCCCCTCGTCGTCATCATCATCATCGTCGTCGTCGTCGTCGTCGTCGTCGTCGTCGTCGTCGTGCGTCACGCACACGATCCGTGGCAAAACGCATTCGTGGCAAGACAGCGTATGATTAAACAGGTCGAAATCGTTTGTGGTACC